CACCCCCGACCCACCCCCATCGGCGCCCATCCCCACCCATCCCCGATCGGCACCACGCCACCATCGCAACAGCAGAGGAAGGTCGCGCGCAGCTGTAGAGGGCGCGCCGCTGCAGAGGAAGGTCGCGCCCAACAGCAGGAGGTCGCGCCGCCTCCATATCAGCTTTCTCAGTTCGCGCCACCATCCCCGACCTTCTTACTCAAGGTGAATTTTTAGAACCTCCATAAAAGATTACTTTTGTTTCTATTTAGTTGAAGTATCTCAAAATTAGAGTTCTAATATACTTAGTTTTATTGATTGTTAGTTTGATTGATTGTTAGTTAGTAAGTGAATGATTTAGGGTTTTTGGTATTGTTAGTTTGAATTAGGGATTATTTGATTGTTAGTTTGTGTTTGTTGATTGTGAATTGAAAATTTTAATGTTAGGGTTAGTTTGAATTAGGGTATCTTAGGATTTGTTTGAAATTCGGTATTTCTTGAGTTAATTAGTTTGATTTTGGAATTGTAAGATTAAATTGAATTAGGGTATTTAAGGGAGTTGTTTGAATTTGGGTATTATTTGAGTTAGTTTGAATTATTATTTAGATTTTAGGACTAATAGTTTGAATTTGGGATTAGGAATAGCTAGCTAATTTGAATTTAGGATTTTAGCTCTAGTTAGATTTTGGGATTTTAGGGCTTGTTTGAATTTGTGATTTTAAGACTAGTTTGAATTTTGTATTTAGGACTAGTTTGAATTATTATTGAGATTTTAGGACTACTAATAGTTTGAATTTGAGATTTTAGCACTATAGTTTGATTTTTGAATTCTAGGAGTACTTTCAATTTGTGATTTTAAGGCTAGTTCGAATTTGGAATTTAAGACTAATAGTTTGAATTATATTTGATATTTTAGGACTAATTAATAGTTTGAAGTTGGGACACTAGCTAGCTAGTTTGAATTTAGAATTTTAGGGATTTGAATTACAACTTAATTAGAACTTATAATTAATTATAACTTGAATTTACTATAAATTGAACTTAATTAGGAATATGAACTTGAAATTAGAACTTGAACTGGGAACTAATTAGCTTGAATATATAGCTAATTAACTTTAGAAATTAGATATGAACTTGAATTGAAACTTGAACTTATTAAAACTTGAATATATATATAACTAATATTCTTGGATATGAAGTTTATATTTAACTAATTTAAGAACTTTTCGTGCTAGGCAACTGAGAAAGCTCAGCATCTAAAAAAATTGATACAAGACTATATTGTAACTTGAATTTAGAACTT